AATCGAGATGAAGGATGAAATATGTTTTTAAAATTTACACAATCATAGATATTTGATAGATATATATTTATTAAATGAAGTTTAAGTATTGTTGGTATCCTTCATCCAAATTTATCGGTGTATCTTTTAGCATCTTCCTCTTTTAAGCTTTTAACTTCAATGTTTCCAAATTTTACATCCATCCTAATCGTTTTAATCTCTTCACTTAATTTAAACTATTAAGGGAATGGTCCCACGTTTAGTTTTCCTAGTAGAAAAATCATACAAGAGTGTTCAAATTAAACTTTTCCAAAATTAAAAAATATTAAAAAGGTAAAATATCATTTTTATTAAGTTATTTAATGTAACAAAAATTAATAATTTTAGTGAAACTAACACATTATTTGATTTTAAGAAAATTATATAAACAATTTTAGTAATATCTTTTACCTACCAACAAAAGAGACCTTATCTACAGAAATAATAATTTTCAGGATTTATAATTATAATACGGTCATCATAGGTATAGAAAAAAAAAACTAAGATAACCTAGAGAAGAAGAATTGAGATAAATGTATATCTTGATTGCTATATATGATATTGTAAAAGAAAAAAAAAATATACAAAAATAATTGATGTAAATGAGCTAATTTAGTTGGAAATTGAATTATAGGAGCATATGAAGGTGGTGGGGACTGTAATGAATTCCATGAAAAAATGTGTAGAAAGAATCTTTTGTTTACAGGTGTAGAAAGAAAAGAGAATGATGAATGTTATGTAGGGTATCCCCACTCATCTCTAATCAAACCACATCTCCTTTCTCATCTTATCTATCCTTTCATCACATCTCACATTTCACTTTCATACTCCAATCTAGTCACCCATTAAAAAATATATATAATATATGATTTTCTTTTTGTTGTAGTAGATTAATAAATATATGTATTTAATATCATTTCTATTATAACTTCTAACATATTTTAACTTAAAAATTAAGTAGGTATACACTAACAAATCTTAAAACCCTATGTTAATAAACTATGATGTAAGTATATTTCAAGAGAATTTCTAATTGTGTATGTCAATATATTTTAAATTGTATGTTTATGTGTAAGAGGAAAAACCTTTCTAGGTAAAAAAGTGTACCTGTCCAAATTTATCATCTTTTGTTAATTTATTCGAAATTTTGATAAATTTTTATATATAAATTTTGAAAAAAATGAATATAATTTTTTAATCTAATTGCATTAATTTTTTTTGACATATTGAATGTATTTTATGTTATAATTTGAGTTGTTTATACTTTTTGATTAATTTCTACTTCAATGTCAGTTAAAAAATACATTTGATACTCTTTTGATTTGTAGGGTCGATGTCAACAATTCTCCTAACTTCCTTGGTCTATTGTTCGATCGATTTAAGGTTATGGATAGAAGGTAATGCGATGCCAAAGTCAAATAATCTAACAATGAATGCATATTAAATATAACCAACTTACCACAATACCTCAAATCTATATTTATATATTTTTTATTAGAGTTCGTATTAACTTTGGTTTAGTTACGACCCAACTTGTAATGATCTTGTTTTTATTTAATATAATCATCCTTAGTCCTAATGCATGTTTAAGATCAACTGGCCGATTTATATTTATCAAACTGATCAATTTGACAAAATTTCTTATTAGTGAATCTAACTGACCAGACAATCATACCATTGAAATATATTAAAAAAAATAACATAATTAAATTAAAAATATTATATTCATTTATTTTTTAAATTTTAAAATCAAAATATTTCAATAATTCAAAACCATTTCAATTCCATAATAAATATAAAAACATAATTTATATTTATTTACCTTAAAATAAGTGCACATAGATAAAAGAGAAATGGTTGTCCAATGATGTGTAATGTATTTTTACAAATGAATAATCTACAATCTCATTTTTATGTAAACTGAACCAGTATTAGTTTCTATGTATTATTAAAGCAAAATAGTTTATCTCTCAAAATTATTATTATCTGTCAGACCTCGGAAAACCCCACCTGTTTAATCTCATTAAATGCACCCCAAAACCCCTGCTCAGATGCATTAAAAACGCACTCAAACTCTGATGCACTAACACCAGGTGTCAAGAATGGAAGATTCGGAAGTCAGTTAATAGAGTGCAGGTGCCGACAGGAGAGTGCACGACCGTTTGGACGTGGTGTAAACAAAAATGATTTTTCTGAAAACCCTGCCATTCTCTCCTGCATGCACCTTCTCCTTTCAAACTCTGATTTCCATTTCCTCCTTCTTCTCTCTAGAAATTTCCCCTTCTCTCTACTGTAACTCACCTTTCTCTGCTCCGATCACCGTTCAGGCACCGTAGTAGTATTCCCGGCGTCCCAAGTTTCCTCTTAAACCGAACAAGTTTCAAGTTTGAGCTGGTAAGTTTCTCTTCTTAGTCGTGCGTTCTTTTGTTACATGCAAGACCAAGTTCTGGTTGCATGCAAGGGTATAGTCTAAGTTACTTTTGATTTTCATGTGGTTCGGTTTAGTTGGAAGAGTTAAGTGATCGTGGGGGTAGAAGTTGTAGTTGACGAACCAAGTTGCAGTCTGTAGGACGTTCTTTCACAAATCCAGGTAAGGGAAGCTTATTTAATTTAATCTTTATGTAGTTGTTTTGTATGAACGTCCGTTGTTTGAATGAATGAATATGATGCATGCTGGTTGATATTTATGATGATGGTTGATTTGTATGAAGTATATGAATGTGAATATGAGTAATCATTTTGGAGTATGAATTGTTAATATGGATTCTATAAAGTATGTAAATTGATATTTGATGTGAAGTTATAAGGTTATGAACTGATGTGTTGAAACTTGAGTTGGAAATAAATGAAAATCTGAATATGAAATTCTCACTATTATAATGTACGTTTGTCATCGAACGGTCCCCTACCGTTCGATTTTTCTAGTAAACTGTTTTAAAACGGAATTCTTTCATTTGGAGAGAATTCTATTCGAGAACGAGCGTCCTCATGGGAAACACTAGGTTGGAGCGTTCGGCCCAGCATAGTTGTATCCGCATATCCGAAATAAAGTAATACATATATATACCCTCGTACTTTAAGATTAGTAGTGCTCGGTCTTACACCAAGCGCTCGTACTAATGTATAATCAGTATTGATAAAATAGCGTTCGTCCAACTTCAGTAATGTTTCTTTTTCCATGTTCGGTCATTTATTGGCATTGGATTTCCGTATGTGAACTATTCTAAATATAGTCCTTAACATCTTGATTATTCTTCTTGCATTGGATCCGGCCTAAGGCCTCCATACTTGATTTATTCCTTAAGTATTGGTTTGAACTCAAGAGAGTCAGTTCATTTAACTTACTCACGTGGTAAATACCGTTCGTCACATATTGCACTATTTTACTCGGCTCATTTCTTAAATCCAAAAGTAACTCTCTTAGTCTTATTCTGTTCTGAACGGGAGAATCATCGGTCGTGTTTCTTATCGTTCGTCCTCGTTCTGAAGAGGGCTGAACGTTCGTTATTTAATGTCCTTGTAACTGATGATGAAAGTGATAATAAAGTGAAAGATTATAAAGGATGAATAATATATGAGATGATTAAACGGTTGTGGATTTTGAACGAGCGTTCCGGGGAGGAACGACTCATGTATTGAATATTGGAATTGGTAAAGTATGACTGTGGTTATGCTAATGCTGGCAGTTCATCCTGATGTTCCATGAGTACTCGTCCTCACGTAGAGGAGGGTAGGTCATGTGTGGGAACGGCAGGAGGTCCTAGTTCTTAGGGGTACTTTGGATAGGGCTAACCTCGGGTGGCAGCTGTTGAGTGTATCCCAGTTACTACATCACCCGGGTGCAAGAACGCTTGTAGCTACACAGATTCATATAGTCCGGACGGTCAGTCTAGTGATAGGCTTGGTATGATACGTACGTTGAAATGTTTCTTGAGTATTGGAATGTTTACTTTATATGTTGATGTATGAATTAAATTACATAAGCTTACCCTGTGTTTTCCTTGTGTTGTCTCGTCTTGTACGTCCGTCTTGTCTATTGCAATGATCATCCGTGTGGATGTAAGCAGAAGGAGACGCATTGATTGTTCGGAAATTGTTTTGTAAAACCGTTCGATCCTGACTTTTTCTTATTTCTGTGGAATTGTAATTAACTCTGTACTTAACTCCGTTCGGTTTTAGACGTTGTATTAGTGTAAGACTGAACTGTTTATTATGAAATGTAATCAACTCTATTATATGGTTTTATTACTGTATTTTTGGGATGTTACATTATCAAAATTAATAAATTAAGGTGAGAACTTTTTAAGGAATTATAATATATAATATTTAATTAAACTGATATAAATTTTCAGTCTTATTATCTATCCAAAAACATTCATTTCTTTAAAATGTTATAAATGTTAAATGAAATTTGATAAGATATTAAATGTGATGTTTAGTTAAACATTTATCTAACTATACAATTATATTTTAATTAAATTAAATATGTTTTTATTCCTTAAATTATTAAATTTATTTTTAGTCTCTTTTTTAAAATAAGGTACATTTTAGTCTTCTTTTTAAAATAAATCTTAATTTTTGTCCTTCCAAAAGAATAAAAAATTAACGTTTTTTTAAATAGAAGGACTAAAATGTACCTTATTCTTGAATATTGTTATTTTCACTTTTGCCAATTTTTAGAATCTGAATAATATATTAGTAATAAAATAAAATTATTTAGTTTAAAAAGACTAGATGTCCAACAATTAAGTTCATACAGATACTACAATTATAAGTGAATAAACTACAAAAAGAAAATGAATTCTATTATTATAAAAAAAAAAACTTAAATTTAAGGAAGAATCATTAGACTGAAACAAAAGAAACAACGGTTGTGATTGATAGATGAAAAAGTTGATTAGAAACTTTGTCATCAGATTGGTGGGGTCCACAATTTGAGTGAACAAAATTGACCTATACAATTGCAGGTCATAATTGTGGGGTTGACCAAAGCTATCATGGTGCTGCTACTGTGTTCAGCACAACGTATGCTTACAAAGTGAATGCCTATATAAACATTTGCTTGAAACCCTTGTTTTCCTTCTCATGCCACCTTTTTTTTTCAATTGAAATGGAGCAATTTGCTTGGGGCCTCTTTTGATCTTTGAATCTGTGAGTGCTTCCATCCCCTTGTGTGGATTTTATTCTATGAATTTGTGTTGAATGCTCTTTTTTATTTTTAATTTTGTTAAGGGTTATCTCTGAATAGGGTTTTTTCTGTTTTGGGTAAAAAAATGATCTCTCTATTTTCTATGAAATCTGTTTTTCAATTTTGGGTTTCTTAGAACAAAGACTGAGGGGATGAATTAGATACAAAGAGTTTGAAGTTTTTCTTTATAATTGGGGCTTTGTACATGTTGACTTGCCGCTTCACCTGGGGAGTAACGTGAAGGGTAAAGGGGTTTTTCTTTGTTCTGATTGTATGTGGTATGATATAAATATTAAAAGGGAAAAATTTTGGAATTTGGATCCTGAATATACTGTGAAGAAATTTGAACTTGGTATTGTGATTGCTGTGTTTATTTAATTATTGTGTTTATATTGACTTAACTTAAGCCTTTGCTAGGTAATTACCCACGTCAAAAGTTAATTGAACTAAAGTGCAGAGAAAGATTTTGTTTCATGGTTTGATTCCTGTATTCAGTCGTAATTTCATGTGGCATGGGATATTTATTTGTACTCTTGTGGATATCTATGTTGAATGGCATATTTCTTCTAATTGGTGGTCATGCTTAATTTTCCTTTTATCGCTGTCCCCTTTTGTCTCTCTTTCCTTTCAAATTTTCCCTGATCACCCTTTATTATTTCTGCCTTGTTGGAACTTTGAAACATAATCTAATCCAACATGGTCCTTGGTTTTGGTAAATTATTTATAAACTATTGATGTTCTTTATGAATGATGAATGATCCATGTTTGGTATTTTTGTAAAAGAGTCTTGGTTTTTTATGGAGCTGACTTGGCTGTGTAATCCATGTAGCTGATCTTACCCAGTGGTGGGATAAGGCTTTGTTGTTATTGTTGTGCTTTGTACACTGTATCAGTTTCTTGATCATATTTCATTTGATTTTCAGTGATCAAGAATCTAGATAAAGAACTTGAAATGGATACAAATGGGAGTCTACGTGCCAACAACTGGGCAAGGTCTTCATCGTTAACCTCGGATTCCATGTCATTCCCAAATTTTGGTCTGCAGAATAATCAACCGAAATGGGATGATCCCTCAAATTCTGATTATGGGATCAGAGCAGAAGTACCTTTCAAAGACTTCAACCAGCCTTCTCAAACTCAGTCTCCACTTCCTTGCAACTCAAACAACGAGATTGAGATCCCAAATCAAGAAAACTGTCATCTGAATGAATCATCGCAAAACAGTGCACTCCAAGATTGGGACCCCAATGTGATGTTGAATAACCTGTCTTTCCTGGAAGAAAAGATTCATCAGCTCCAGGATCTAGTGCACTTGATTGTTCGTCAAAAAGGCATTGGACAACCTAATGAACTTGTAACTCAGGAACAGCAGCTTATCACAACTGATCTCACATCAATCATTATTCAGTTGATCTCTACTGCAGGTAGTCTGCTCCCATCTGTTAGGCACAACCTTGCAAACACAGCTTCATTGTTTGGACAGATTGATCAGCTTTGTGAGACGACCATTCCTTCCGGGACTGGTGGAAGTAGCAGCTGTATTCAGCCAGAAAATAATGGTGGAAAGAAAATGTCTGATCAGTCCATGCAAACTGATCTACCTAATAACTGTGAAATGGAGCCAAACTACAATGTGGTAGAACAAGAACTCAAAGATGAAGAAGATGTAGATGATGGAGAAAACCTTGCCCCTGGTTCATATGAGATTCTACAATTAGAGAAAGAAGAAATCCTTGCTCCTCACACCCATTTCTGTACAATTTGTGGGAAGGGGTTCAAGAGAGATGCAAATCTGCGAATGCATATGCGTGGCCATGGCGACGAGTACAAAACCCCAGCAGCTCTTGCAAAACCTCACAAAGAATCTGGATCACCAAAGCTTATCAAGAGGTATTCCTGTCCCTATCCTGGCTGCAAGCGCAACAAGGATCACAAGAAGTTTCAACCTCTGAAGACTATCCTGTGTGTGAAAAACCATTACAAAAGGACACACTGTGACAAGAGCTACACATGCAGCAGATGCAACACCAAGAAATTCTCAGTCATGGCTGATCTGAAAACTCATGAAAAGCACTGTGGTAAGGATAAATGGTTGTGTTCATGTGGCACAACATTTTCTAGGAAAGACAAGCTTTTTGGGCACATTGCTCTTTTCCAGGGCCATACTCCAGCCATTCCCTTGGATGACGCCAAAGGGGTAGCTGAGCCACCCAATCATGACAGCAAAGAAAACAGTAAGGTGGGGAATGTGCAGTTCAGTTTTGGATCAAGTCCTTCTTCAAATGGAAATGAAGTTGAAAATGTGATGGATGTAAAAGGCAATTGTGACGATCCTATAAGTTTTTTCTCATCATTGAACTTTGACAACAGCTTTGGTGGGTTTAATGAATTCACTAGACCTCTGTTTGATGACTCAGAAGGTTCATTCTCTTTTGTGATTCCTGGATCTTTCAAATCCGACGGAGTATCCAGCCCTGACAATCTTTTGTAACAGTGTTAGCATCTGTGTTTGTCTCTTAATGTGAGCAACTACAACTCTGGTTTGTATTAAATTTGTAAAGCCAGTTTAGTTTCCTATCCCTTCAAATTCTTAAGAAAGATGATAGATTTTCTTCAATATTTTTATCTTCTTTCAAAACCTCTGAATAGAGAAATATAAATTTGCACTTTTAGCATCTGGGTTCTTCAACATTCCATTGCTGTGCTACAAAATAACTTGCCGTTTACAGTTGATTGCACCCCCATAATTTCCAGATCACCTGTTCCGGAAATCTTTCAAAACAAATTTTTCAAAATATTCAAAACATGATTTCTGATCAGAATTTTTTCTATATTTTCAGAATAACTTTTCTAGAACAAATTTTCCAAATTCATGAGATGCCTTATATAGACTAAGATTTCCAGAACAAGATCTATGACAAGATATATGGAATAAGTTTCTTGAACATATGAGAGATGTTTTTGAATGAGTTTTCCATAACGAGCAACCCAATGTTTTACTCATTCTTTCTCCTTCTTTTCAAGAGTATGGTGAAGAATGGAAGAGTTTTTAATCCTTTTGCTATTGGTATGGGATGCAGTTAGTAATAATGGAGGTGAAGGAAGAAAAAATCTCAGTATGAAAACTAGCCTATAATTCTTCCTCCACCTCTTGTGTATGATTTTTTGAAGCAAAAAAAAAAAAATACACGAGATTAATTGTAGAATCTTTTAATAGTAAGAAACTTAAACTAAATTTTGTAAACTATACATAAATGTCTGATCACTAAAAACTCATTTTCGTTTCTTTTAGCTTAAACTATTTAACGATAATTTAATGCTTTATATTTATTTATTGTATATGACAACATTATGACTGGGTAATAATATTTTGTCTCTTGGCAAGGTATTTGGTATTTTAAAAGTATTGTTGAGAATACAAACCATATACACATTCATATGTGTGTGAGCGAGATATAAAAGAATTTAATAGTGAAGTGTTAGTTTTTCTTTTATTTTTTTTTCTTTTTAATAAATTTTTAAGATAGAACTTTAGAATATCAGTGTAATTGAGATGCCAACATTTATGACATTTATAGTGATATATGATCTGAGAAGTATTAATATATAAGACATTAGTTATAATAAAAGAAAGAAAATTTGTGTTATCTCATTTCAAACAAACGACGGCAGTTTAATTTTATACATAGAAAACTTGAGATTTTAATTAAAATTGTGTGAAACTTTTAATATGGTTTGTTGTGTCTATAGTATATTTTTTACTTACTTTTATATGTGTAATTTAATAATAACAAATTAAAGTACTAAAATATACTATATACTATAATTTACAAATTTAACTTTAGTATTGTTTTGAATAAATAAATCTGAATATTTAAAATGATTTATTGGTAGACAAAAAATGATTTATTAAGTTACAATTTGTCACATTTTTATATCTTTGTTAAAAAGGATAGTTATAGTTTTTAGTACGTGTAAGTTAATAAAGAGGCAATAACTTAAATAATTTCATTAGTTAGTATTCATTTGACATATGCCTGATTTTGATTTTGATTTTGAAAAAAGAGTATCAAGTTTAAATAATTAGAATTTAATTTAATTTAAACTACATAATTAGAATGTAATTTAATTTAAACTCTGTACAAATCTAAGAAAATGAATTAAATATAACAAAATTAGAGCAACCCGCTTAAAAGTTTTTAAACAAAAACACATGAAACTGTATTATTATCTGACAGAATTTAGTAAAACATCGTGTAGTGGAAAATTTGAATAAATCCTAATTTTAGTTTACTTCAAATTGATCGCAACGCCTACATACTAATTCATAATAATACTATAACGAGAGGAATTTGAAAATAAAATTTATAAAAATTTATGTGAGATTTGAATGATTATAGATTAAAGAAATGTTTTAATGAGTAAAAAGTAAAAATTATTAAATTATTTTTAATGTAATAATAATATAAAATTATTTTTGGATTAGTTAGAATTATTTTTTAAAAAAATGTTAATAAATAGTTTTGAAAAAAATAATAATTATTGTAATAGAAAAAAATACAATTTATTTGATAGAAAAATAAAAATTAAATATTTAAATATTAAATATTTCTAAGAAGCTCGATACTCTCTATTCTCTTATATGTTATTCTTTGATTCGGTGGTTGGTTATTGCTTTCTTGGATTTTCTTAGCTTTCTCTAATATCGTAAAAGTTGAATGTCTTTTTTCTTTTTTACATTTTTTTTTCCTAATAATTGTGAAGAATGTTTCTTATGATTTGGTTTTGTATTATTTTTTTAGATATTCATGATGGCAACAAAAAATAAATAGAGGATAACTCTTTTAGTTTCTTGATCTTAGCTAGAATTTTAGCTTTTTAGGTGAACGTGTAAGCAAATTACACTTCCTTATAATTGAATATACTCTTTGGAATCGAATAGACCATTCTATGCAAAACTTTGCTGGAACTGAATATACAGACACTGGAATCGAATACATCTGTATTGTGTTTCATTTTGCGAGAAGAAATTGAATACGCATCCTTGAAATCGATTCCACCCGCAACCTCCACACTTTAGAACTTCAATTGTGTGAGGTAAATATCATAATTATACGAGGGTTATTTAGAATTTTCGTCTTAAATCACTGCAAATCCGAGCAAAGTAATAGATTCTAAAACTCACCCATTCTTCAAATCTTCGTTTTCATTAACTTTTAAATCACGCGAAGCCAAGCAGTGCAGAAAAGTCAAGCTGAAACTTAGGGCCCCTTCAGGAGCCCTGAGCGCCAGCAAGAGGCCCTAAGCGCTAGTTTCATGTATCGCACAAAGTTTGGGCGCCCTTTCAAGGGTGCTGAGCGCGTTCTCTTGCAGTTTCACCTGCTTACCCCCACTTAGGGCGCTGAACGCCAACACAACGTTGGCCCATGATCCAATTTTGATCTATTTAAGGACTTGCATGCCCTAGGGTTGATATCTCTTGATGGCTTGAGCACAAAAACACACTTTTCGCCCCTTGGAGACAAACTCGGGGATATGGGAGCTCTCATCTTCAGTTTCTAGGATTTTTCTATCTCTTCCTTTCCATTGTTCATCTAGTTTCTCCATGATAATGGAGAACTAAACCTTATTTGTTGTTAGGGAAGATGTAACCTCTAAACTCTCATGTATTTGAATTGATTCTGATTTATATATGCTTCTTTCATTAATTGTTAAGGTTATTCTTCTTTGCTCAATTCTTGTTATGTTTAACTCATTGACGACATGATATTTCATTTGTCTGAGTATCGACATATATCTTATAATTCATGATCTGGAGAATTTCTCCCAAGGTATTGCCTAGACATAGGGATAAAACACTTGGTTGTCTTAAGCTTCTATTCGTAGTGCAAAATTAATTATTAGGAATGTAAGACATTGTGGTCTACTAATCGAGGATATGCTTCTTTTGCTAAGACATCGGGTTCTAAGTAATTTAGAAAGTGACATTGACATTTAATAAAGAAGAAGAATTCTTATATGCATGAGAGTGATTAGGTGAAATCTAAACCCCAACAACATTATCATCTCATATTATCAACATTATCCATTTCATTTTAGTGTTTAGCCTCAATTGATCAATTTGCATTCATATTTACTTTTGTTGCATTTGCATTTGAAAACCAACAAAATATCTTTTCCGCCTTAATTAGTTAAGTAATTACACAATTGTTTAGTGCCGTGAGTCTCTTCGGAAACGATACTTGGTCTTAACAAGTTTTTGGCATCGTTTCCGGGGACTCGTGGTTTAAACTATACTTTTGTGTGATTCTTAACCAGTTAGACTTTATCTTTAACTTTCTGTTTTTATTTTGTTTTTGATTTGATTTTTTATTTATTTTTGGGTTAATTGGGTGCTTTAGTGCAGTGTTCTTTAGTGTTTGCAGGATGAAATCCGAAAATCTGTACTAGGAGCACAAGATCATCATAATCTTTCCTTTTAAGTCTGGAAGTAGAGAAGACTGCTAATAGTAGATGAATAAGGCAAATAATGAAGAGAAGCTAATTCACTGGTGAGATACAAGAACAGGTTATGGGTTGTTAAAGCTATTGAGATTGAGGCTCCTTATTCAAGGAGAGTAAAGATGGTGACTAAGAAGTTGTTGAAGTTATGTTGGTGTGGTGAAAAAGAGAAAAGCACCAACAACAAAAATCTGGATTGTGCTTAATGGTGTCAGGCTCGTGACTGATGTATGTTGGACAACATCTATTGAGGGATGCTAGGAGGACTTAGATGATAGCATCTACTGATGGATGTTACTGACACCATCTAATGATGGATGCTACTAGATTAAAGCATCTACTGATGGATGCTATGATGATGAAGATTCAGATGAGAACATCTATTGATGGATGCTACTAGATTAAGCATCTACTGATAGATGCTATGTGATTAGACATCTACTGATGGATGTTACTGATAATGAACAAATTTTTGATCCCCGAAAATGGAGTCAAAAACTTGTTAAGACCTCGGCAAGTGTAACCGAATCGTATCAAGTAATAAAACTGGTAAGACCAAGTATCGTTTCCCAAGAGACTCATTTCACTAAACAGTTATGTGATTACTCAACTAATTAAGACTCTAAAGAATATATTTTGGGGTTTTTGAATGCAAATGCAATAAAATAAACATGAATGAAATCTGATCAATTGAGGCTAAACACAAGAATGAATGGATGAAGTTGATGATATTGTTGTTGGGTTTATATTTCACCTAATTTACTTTCATGCATATATGAATTCATCTTTCTTCATTAATGTTAATGTCACTTTCTAATTTACCTTAAACCGAATGTCTAGGCGGAAGAAAGAAGAAAGCCTATCATATCACTAGTTTACAATGTCTTGTCCTCCCTATCAATTATTCTGCATTATAAGCACAGAGCTTAAAGGCTACCAAGCAATAAGTGCGATGTTCTAGGTTATAACTACTATTGGGAGAGATTCCCCCAGATCGTGATTGTTAAGATATCTCTCAATAACAATCCTAGGGAGAGAAGAGGGAGAACTGTCAATCCCCAAATCGTCCATCAACCCTAGGAGTTACAAAATTTCTCGTATTACTTACAAATCATAAGATTTATGCCGTAACATGAA